CCCTCCCCGGGGGAGATCGCGGCGGTCCATCAGCGGCGGCCGCCGCGGCTACCGCGGTGGGGCGAATTGATCGCGGCCCAGCCCGAGCCCCTCGGACGCGCGCAAGTAGCCGTCGAACAGCACGAGGGTCAGCGCCGCCGAGCTTACCCTGACCAGGCTGCGCTGCTTCCTCATCCAGTGGGCTTGCTCTGCGGCGGCCTCCCAGGGGCATCCGTGTCGCGACCTGGTCTGAGAGGCCTTGCGGTAGCCGCGCGCGGCGCGTCGGGTCCGCGGGAAGTGCGGGATCTTCGCCCACGCCTCGTCGATGTGGAACATCAGCGCGTGGATGGCGTCGCTGGCCTGAGCGGCGGGCCCCCCCTCGAAGCGCGGCTTGTCGAGGCGCAGCTCGAGGGCCCTGTCGCGCGCCTCGGGGCCGTCGCTCGTCGACTGCTGCGCCTTCCGCCAGGCCGAGAGCTCGTCGCGCCCCCGCTGGTAGACGCGCGGCGTCGCCTGGCCCGCGGAGCGCTGCTTCCGCACCCGCTCTCGCCCGGCGCGATCGTCGCCGCGTTGGCGACCGCCCGCCGGGTGGAGGCCCGGCGCTGCCGGGCGCGGGGCGGCGGCCGCGCGTCGACTCCGCCCCGCGCCGGCAACCCCAGCGGCGGCCGCCCGCCGCTCTCGAGGGCCAGCCCGGCGCGCGGAGAGCGAGGCGCGGCTGCTCCGCGCGGTCGCCGCAGGGCTGGTGGCCGACAGCGCGCCCCCATCCAGTGGCAAACCTCCGCGGGCACGCGGGGGGCAGCGAGCGGCTCCGGCCGCGCGATCCCCGCTGCCGCGGCCAGCTCGCGCTCCCAGCGGGGATCGAGCAACGGCTCGCCATCCCTCCGGAGCGCGCTCCGACCCGTTGCCTGCTTGAGCCCTAGTGCAACAATGCGGCGGAGTCCCGGGGCATGCGCGGCCGCCAGGGAGGTCCCCAAAGATGGGCTTGCCGGCCCCGCCGGGGACCTCCACCTCCCCCTCGAGGCGCTCGCGGGGCACCGCGCGCATGCGTCTCTTCTCTTTGATCTTCCGGGCGGGGGCGTTAATGATAAATGCCGCGGGCTTCTTGAAGGGGGGTCCGCATCGGCTGCAGCGGAACTCGAAACAGTCGCATCTTGATTGATTTCTTGGTAATGCTGACGAGGGGCGGGTATTTCAGGAGCCTCGAGGATGCTGGATTCTCCGTTGGCGCGGACACCAACGCGATGGCACGCCCTGAAGACCTTCACCGCGAAGTCGGCGCAACCATGGCTTGCCCGAGAGCCCGCGGAGCCATTGGACCACGCGTTGTTCGCAACGCTCCATCGGGCACCGGGAGGAGCGAGATACATGAGAGACGTGACCATGAGCAATCCACTGCAAGATGGTTTGCTAGACACCAACACTGGGAACGTCGAGTTGCGGCCCGGCCGAGATATCCACGGGGCAGAGGATGCGCAGCCCAGCCGCCACGCAAGCGCCCGAGAGCCTGGCGCACCCGCTAAGAATCTCGAGCATGCCCGAGCGGCAACGGCCGCCCGACGGCGCTCGCGGGGCCAGCGGCGGCGGCGCGCGGGCGGCAGACGGGCTGGGCAGGCTCGGTCTCACCAAGGCCTGCGCCCGCGGCCACCCTGCGGCCCGCTGCGGCGCCCGCCGTCAGCCCCCACAGCCGCCCCAACCGAGCCGCCAGCCGGCCCCTGCGAAGCGCCTCGCCCGGCGCCAGCAGTCCGCGCTCCGCGAGCCTCGAGTCCGAGTCGGCGGCGGCGACCCAGCGCGCCTCGGCTCCGAGCGCGGTCGCAGCGGCGCGCCTGCAGATGACGCGCAGGGCAGGGTTGCGTGGCTGACCTCGCTACGCGGCCAGAGCTAGGTTGTCGCCGAGGGACAGGACAATGCCGCCGTGACCCGCTGAGTCGCGCGACGCATGGTGGAGTCCCACCAGTGCTATCCTCGCCTCCTTCATGTGGATCGCCTCGCGCCTCTCCCAGGCGCCGACCAGCAGCCGCTTCCAGCGCCCAGCAGCGGCCGTGCCGTCGGGCAGCGAGGGCACGATGTCGGCCACTCGGAGATGCGCGACCCTGGCCTCGACCGCCGTCATGGCTTCGACGGGCGCCAGGTTGCTCGAACGAGGCGCGCGTCGAGCAGAGCGGTCACGGGCCGCAGCTCCAGGCCAGTCGTTGCCCCCCCCACATTCAGGTCCTTTACCAGCTCGTGGAAGTGGGCGCCCAGCCCCGTCTGGGCCTGCGAGAGGCCTGGTCCTTCATCCTCCTCGGCGTCGGTAAACCTCCAAAGCTCCAGCCGCTGACAAATGTCGCGCAGTTCGCTCTCGTCGAAGACGCCCGCGTGGATGGCGCAGCCCTTCGTGGAGGCGTCCGAACAGAAGGCCGCGGGGTAGCGCGGCCGGCGGAGTTGGCTCCTGACCAGGACCAGCAGGCGTCGGCAAGTCACCAGTCCCCTCGAACATTGCTGTCGAACCGACGGAAGCGGCCTAGGTTCTCGGCGCTCAAACCACACGGGCGCGAGAGCACGCCCAGGGCGGGCCGGGCAAGCATGAAGAAATTCACAAAGTGGCCCAGCACGATGCGCATCACTTCCCCCGCGCAGTCCGCCCGCCACTCCAGTTGCTGCAGCGCGTGCCGCAACCGCCAGAACCGAGACCGACGCGGCCTCCAGGCGAACTTCGCGCTCTGAAGCTCGGACCCCACCATGTCCAAGTTCGGGTCGCACTCCACATCGCCCCGATGCGCGAAGCCGCCCTCGGTCAGCACATGTTCAGCTGATCGTGGGCCTGCATCGCGCGCAAGTAGTCGAAGGCAAGCCTGACCTCGCGCGCCGCACATGCCGACGGGTTCACCCAGCTCTTGCTCCCCCGCCAGGTTGGACGCAGGTGCACTTCGAGACCCGCCGCCGCCGCGTCCGCGATGAGCTCGCGTGCCGAGGGCGGGCCCTCGAACGGCCAGTCGGCAAAATTCGGATCCGAGAAGAGGTTGGCGGACTCCCGCCGCAGCTTGACCCTCTTGCCGCCCGAGTCCAGGTGGACGGGCCAGATGCGAAGGTCGCGTCCTGGCCCGCTCCGCCTGCGCTCCAGCCAGCTGTCCAGGTCGCGGTTCCTGGCCCGCTGCACGGAGACCCACTCGCCCGCCGCCTGGTCGGTCAGGTGGAGGCCCGTCTCCCTCTTCACCGCGACGCGGTCGCCGAGCATGCTGCCATTGGGGATCACCTCGTTGAAGCTCCAGTGACCTCTGTCCGAGACTCGCCACTGTCGGTCCGCCGCCGCCGCGGCCGCGTCAGCTGCCGGCTGGTCGACCGTGAGCGGGTCGAGCCTATGCGCGTTGCCCCGCGCCTGGACCGGCCACGGAGCGGCGCGCAGGAGATGTAGCACACGATGGGCCGTGACGTCCAGCATCTGGACCGAAAAGCCAGGCGTGGCCACCACCCAGCGACCCGGGCCCAATTCGTACTGTAGCAGCCTGTGGTGCCATTGTATGTTTGGATCGTCTGGATACTCAACCCTGGTCTGGATGATTTCAATGTCCAGCGTCGTCGGCATCACGCAAGCGTCGCACAGTAGTCGGCGTCGCAGCTGAAGGTTTCGCTGGGCCCGCTGCGCTCGATGAGGCCGTTGCAGTCGGCCGAGCCTGTGGACCCAGCACCACCTGCAGCCTGAGCGTGGCAACTTCCCCATCAGCACACCAAGCCTCGCGGTTACCAGCAAGCTGCTGGCTGTCGGCCCGCACGATGGCGCGGGCGGGCAATGCAGTTGGTCTGGGCCGCAACGGTCGAGCTGCCCGCGCAAGATGGCCAGGGGTCCCTCGTCGATCGTGTTCGAGTCGAAGTGGCAGGACGCCCCCGACGTCACCCGCCCGACTTTGGCGCCGAGCATTGCAGGTGTCGCGGCAGCCGCCTCCAAACACAACAGCCAACGACACACACACACACATATATATATATATATATATATACATATATATACACATGCATACTTACATATACATACATTTACACACACACATATATATAGATATAGTCGTTCCCCCAAGGGAAGCGCGCTTTTTTGGAGGCAGGCCAGAGGGGATCGCACCCAAGGGCCCATGGGCCCACGCCCCCCAAGAAACGCCCCTGGTCCAAGTGGCTCGCCCGTAGGCTCAGACCCTGGTCAAACGAAGGCCCACGGGGCCCCCTGTCCGCGAGGGTGTCCCACGAGTCCGACGGGGGGGTTCGAGGGGGGTGCCCTTCCTAATGCAGCACCAGGGAGGTTTGTGGGAGGGCCAAAGCGGCTGCAGAGCGGAAGGGGGGGCCTCGTGGAGGCCCTCCGCGGCCTGCCCCAGAGCACTCACCCCCTCACATCTAAAGTAAGCTTCTACATAATGCTCGTTCCCCGGGGGAAGCGCACTTTTTTTGAAGGCAGGCCAGAGGGGATCGCACCCGAGGGCCCATGGGCCCACGCACCCCAAGAAACGCCCGCGGTCCAAGCGGCTCGCCCGTAGGCTCAGACCCTGGTCCAACGGGGGCCCACGGGCCCCCCGGTCCGCGAGGGTGTCTCACGAGTCCGACGGGGGGGTTCGAGGGGGGGCCCTTCCACGTCTCCCCTTTTCTGGCGTGCCGAACTCTTAAAATGAAAACTACTCCGAGAACCCCCTCCTCACTAAGAACCTCGACTGCGGACGGGGGGGCGGCGTAGGCGGCCGAAGGCAAACGACCCCGACCCCCCCCCGGGGGCGATCGGCCACCCTCCAAGGGGGGCCGGCCGCCACCGGTGGCAGGAGAGGCTTCTTAGAGGTTTGGAGGGGAGGAACAAGTGAGAACGGGCGCGCATGAGAGCTGCCCTTGCACAAGGTAACGGGGCGGTCTGGCTGCCCTCCAAGTCGGCTTGGCGAAGCCTCGGCGCAGCGCGGGGCCGCGTCGAGGGGGGCCCTCCCCAAGCCGACCCGTGGAGGGCAGTCGGGCCCCCCCTTTGCCCTGCGCAGGGGTCAGCTCTCGGCGCGCACCAAGAGGAGAGGCGTCCCTGCTTTTCACAGGGACGCGAGCAGCCGCGCGAGAGCGGCAGCTCGCGCTGCAAGGTCTCGGGCGGCGGCGTCTGGCACTCGCTGTTGCGCCACCGCTGCCAGCCCGTCGTTGATGTAGATCTGCGCCGTGCGCAGGTCGGACCAGCGGCCGCGGTGCACGGCGCGCCCGAGGTCGCCGCGGGTGCACGCGTCGTGCGTCGCACCGCCACGGCGCGGGCTGCGGGGCTCGATGCCGACCTCCTCGAGCCCAGCCTGGACGCACGCCCGCTCGAACAGCAGGCGGAACTGCGCGCCTGCGCCCAACAGCAGTGGCCCCGCGCCCTGCCGCTGGCGGAGCCACGCCAGCGCACGGCCCACGACTGGGTCGTCGACGGTGACCAGCTCCTGCGCGCCTCTCCTGGCCCCGCTCTTGGTCCACGGCAGGGCGACGAGGCCTGTGCGGCTCGCATTGGTCAGCACGTGCTCGGCGCGGATGGACACGAGCTCGCCTGTCCGCAGCAAGCAATGGAAGGCGACCAGGATGAGCACCGCTGCATCTTGCCGCCCGAGCTGCCACAGCACGTGGAAGATGCCGCACAGCGTGGTGACGGACATATGGGCGGTGCTCTTCGCGGCATCTCGATCCTGCCCCATGTCCGCCAAAGATCCCAAGACATAGGGAACGCACGCCGTCGCCCCAAGTAAAACTGAATACCGCTCAACGTGTCTCCTGCCAGATTGCGACCCTCGCCGTCAATCCAGAGATTTTCAATGAACGTGCAGATCTGCTGGTCCATGTCGGCGGCGTCGACGGCCTGTGGCCAGCCCTGGTCCAGCTGATACTGGACAAACATGGATGCAGCACGAAAATACCGAATTCGTGTCGGGGGAGCCACGCGTTGAAGTCGCAAGGGCCCCAGCGTCCTCCTGGCTGCGGCTCTGCTCGCACGATCTGCCTCTGCGCGCAGGCGTCTAACCATGACGCGTGCGCTTCCTGCTGGGCGCGTCCGCAGGGTTGACACCGCTGCGGCAGAAGCCCAAGATGGCCATGACCCCTGAGGCCAGCTCAAGTGCGCTGACCTTGCGAGCAATGCGATTCAACTGGCGAGACCCCGATCTGTGCTTGGTGAGGACAGCAATAGACACCTGGCTGTCCAACAGGTGGAGGAACTTCGTCTGCAAGTTCTTCTCTGCACGCAGACGCCAACGGAGAGCTGACAGGTAGGCCCTCATCCCCAGCTCGTTGATGTGCGCCGCCTGCTGCCAGCTGAACTGCAAGGCCACGGGCCAGCGCCACAAGTTGGCGGGGATCGGGAGTCGGGCCATCCCGACGGTGAGAAGACCTCTCCAGTAGAGGTCCTCACGTCCGAGCCCTTCGTGGACGTCGACCTCATCACGTCCAGCACAAGGGCATGCTCCGGCGCAAAGCCGCGCGAGCTGCAAAATGCGCTAGCGGCCACCGGGCGGGCCGACTCCCTGAGGAGGTCGACCGAGGGAACACTCGCCAAGAACTGCCACTTGACGGCGAGGTGCCCCAGCAGCCACGCCACGACCTCCACGTGAAAGGCATTCCCGAGGAGGCTGCAGCGGAACGACTCAGCGTGCTGCAGGTCGTCTTTCAGCACGCCTGATGGAACTGCGACCTGAGTGTGGCCGCGCGGGAAGCCCATGAGCACCTCCCGCTCCTCAGCACATGGGGGCCGCCACTCCCCTCTCTCGTGCACGCAGTGCTTCTCGATGTACTGGTACGGCGGGAGGGCGAGCCCGTCGTCCGCCCGGCGCTGCAGCGCAGCTGGGTCGCACTGAGCGAAGCCCGCGGGCCGCGGCCGAGGGGGCGAGCGCCGCTCCCTCCTCGCAGCGGTGGGGAGCCGTGCTGCGGGGTCGTCTCCAGCGGGCCAGGAGGCACCTCGCCGCAGCCAGCGCGAGCCATGCCCTGGGTCCGCGTCAAGCTTCACCTGGCGCCAGAGGTCTCTCTCCTCGATGCTGTGCTCGGCGTCCCCCACGAGGCAGAAAGAGCACCAGTAAAGCCGCGGACGACGCATGTGACAGACCTGAGAGGCGCAGACCCTGTACGGCTTGCGGCCCAGCAGCTTCGCGGCCGCCCCGATGTCGGCCCGGTCGGCGGAGTCCACGTTCTCGAAGAGGAACTCCACCTCTCACTCGCTGAACTCCACCTCGACGATGTCCAGGATGCGCGCGATCTCGCCGACCAGCCCACTGCGAGTATCTGAGAGGCCCTTCCTGTCCACGTTGAGGCGCGACAAACCATGGCACGGGAGGCCCCCCCATGAGCAGGAGCTTGCGGCCCCTAGCGCACCCGTTGCGGATGGTGACGAGGACCTCCCTGGTGACGAGCCTGACGCCCCCGAGCTCCTTGAGGTCTGGGAACGCGTTCCTTGCCACGCGAGTCGCCACCTGGTCGATCTCGGACGAAATGTGCCAGCAGCAGTCGAGCCCCAGGGCAGCCCAAGCGCAGCGTCCACCTGCGATCCCGTCGAGGAGGCTGATGATGACCAACTCGTCTTCACTGCGCTGCCAGGGCAGCCGGCCGCTGCGGGCCAGGGCCGCTTCCACTGCAGGCGTGAGGCCACGACTCACCACCACGCCGCCTCCGAACGGGCTGGCGTCGGAGCACGTGACCTCAGGCGAGATGCTCAGCCGGAAGTCGGTGAAGTGGAGCGGTGCGAACGACATCGCGAGCACGAGCTCCTCGACCATTGGCAGCGGGAGGACCCACCCGCGGGAGGAGCCCGAGATCCATCTCCACGCGTGCTCGAAGGCGGCCACCCCGCCACGGCGGCGGGCGAACACACGCACCCAGCGCCCCAGCGCGATTTGCCAGTGCCTCCCGCAGGTGCCGCGCTGGGCCAGGACCCACAGGGTGAGCGAGATGAGCTGGCTCGCGTAGCCGTTGGGCGGCTCCTTGCGACCCAGGCCGCCGTCGATTGTCCCCGATGGGCCTGCGTCTCCGACTGGCGGAGTACGTCCTTGGCGGCCACTCCAGGAGTGCCGTGGGCCTCGCAGGCCGCCCTGGCATGCTCGTGCAGAGGGCCCCGCGGAGAACCTCGGCGTCCACGCGGTCGATCAGCTCCTGAATCTCCAGGTTGTCGACGCAGACCTCCCACGCCGTGGTGTCCGAGCTGCGGGGCGTGAGCGGGCTCCCGCGGTCTCTGCGCCACTCTGCCTCAGGCTCAAGTCCCGCAGCACGTGGGCGCCCTACCTTGAGCACGTTGCGGTGTATATGCTGCGAAACTCCCGTGGCTGAGATCCAGCCCATTGCCACTGCGGCGCTGGCCACGTGCACCCGAGCCTTGTCCGGCTTGCCCACGAGGCGGCCAGGCACGGGAGCCCTGAAGGCCATGAGCTTCCTCCAGCACGGCGGCGGCCTGAACGCGTAGAAGAAGCACTGCCGCGGCATGATCTCGCGAGACAGCAGCGCGATGGTCGACCACTGGCTCGAGAGGGGCAGCTGGACCACGTCCCCGCCGACGACGCGCTGCATCACGTTGGACGGCGCGAGGTTCATGATGAAGCGCAGGACGTGGCCGTAGGGGCCGTCGCGCAGCTTGACGGTCCGCTCGGTCCCCTGCCGCGCGCCAAAGGCCCCGCACAGGGCCAGCTTGCCACCCACGTGCAGCACGTCCTTGAGATCGATGGGCTCCACGAGCCCGCGAGCCCACAGGACCTCCACCAGCTCTTCCCAGGCCTCGTCGGAAGCCCAGATCTTCGCATGCGGCGGCGCCGCCGGCCTGGCGCCCTCAGGAATGGCCATCGAATCGGCATCGAGGAGCGCTCGGCGGACCACTGGATCGCAGAGCGGGGCCGCCTCCACGGAGGCCGCGATCCCGACAGGCGGCAATGCTGGCAGCACCTGCTCAACCGTGAGCGTCTCCGCCGTGCCGACCTTCCTCCCCCCCGTCGTAGGCCGCCCTCGGTGGGTCCGACGGGCTCGGGGCTCCGCGTGACGAACATCAGCGCTGCCCGAGCCACCATGCGCAGGCTCCTGAGCTGCGCTGGGCTGGGAGGCCCGCGCTGCACGCATCTCTCGGGGTCGGCCGAGCAGTTGGCGTGCAGGTGGTTGAGGCCGATGATGAGCACATGCGTCCACTGCTTCGCTGCCTTCACCTGCTGGGACGTGGTCGCCCCCAACCCGCGAAGCTCTGCGTCTGGAAGTGCAACGAAGGGCAGGGGGGGGGGTCACGTTGTCTCCCCGTCTGCCCTGGAAGTTGGCCTGTCTCCATCTTGTGTCAGACGCCTCGCAGCCTCGCCGAGTCTCGTGGGCAGCGACCGTGCCGGCCTCAGCAGCACCTGCGGCGCGTCATGCGGCGTGGCCTCCTCGATCTCCTTCGCGGCGACCTGCAGGCATGGCGGGCGCAAGCCGAAGGCCGATCCTCCTCAAGCAGGCCGCCCGAGAGCGGGCGGCAGCACCTCGGCGCCGGCGGCGGGATCGGCGGCTGCGGGGCTCTCCTGCGGGCGGTGCCTGCAGGCCAGGGCGGCCAGATCCCCCCCAGCAGTCGCGCCAGGGGCTTTCGGCCGAGCCGCGCAGCCCGCGGCAGCGGCAGCAGAGGGGGGGCGCCGCCAGGGCGGAGGGGGGGCTAGGCCTTCCTGCCGGGGCGCTCCCCGTCTGCGGCGGAGCGGAGCTGGCTCCGCCCGCGGCGGCTCCGCGAGCGGGGGGCGCGCGCCTCAGGGGAGGAGCGGCCCCTCGCTCCTCGCCCCCGCGGAGCCCCTAGCCAGGGCTCGCGCCCAGACGCCCCTTGCCCCGCACCTCCGCGAGCCGCGCCTGCATCGGCGCGTGCTGGGCGGCCGCCTGGCGCTCCGACAAGCTCGCGATCCCCGGCTGGTCGTCCATGAGCTCCAGCTGGCTGGCCACGGCCCAGCCCTTGTCGCGCACGCTCAGCTCGAGGGCCTTCAGCCGCTGGATGAGCAGGTCGCCCACCTCCGGCAGCTTCCCCTCGAGCAGGCCGTCGATCGCGTGGGCAATCGTCCTCATCTCGCGCACTGAGTGCTGTGACATGCCGCTCTGCGGGTGCTGCCCGAAGAAGATGCCGTTCAGGTAGGCCGCCACTCGTGCTCAGCTGCCCCCTGTACTCGCCCCCGCCCGCTCGCCCAGGAATCGAGCCATCTCGGAGAGGCCCGACTCCAGCAGCGCGCCCGGGCGGTGGCGCGCCGCCCGCTGGATCCGGTTCGTCGCGGAGCCGGAGGGGGCATCGTGAAAAAGCGACTCGGCATCTCTTCCGTCGCCAGTGATGCTGGGCTCGGCAGCGCCTCTCGCCCTCTTCGCCGCAGCGCTGAAGAGGTCGGCGCGCCCCTCGCGGCGCCGCTTTAGCGCCTGCTTGAGTTGCGCCACCTTCGCCTCGAGCACCGCCTTGGACCTCGCCTCGCCGAGCGGGCCCGCGCCAGCATCCCCGGCCGGCGCAGCGAGCAGCAGGGCAGCAGGGCGGGCCCACGCCTCGCTGAGCTGCAGGGGGCCCCTCACGCGCAGCACGTCGACGTGGTACACGGAGTGCGCGCCGGCCACCGCTTGGCATCGCTCTCGTGGGCACGAGCAGAGGTGAACCAGCGGGGCCCCGCCGTCGGCACTCCACGCCTGCTCGAACTGCAACGTGCTGACGGGAGTGGACGCCTCGCCGAACACCGCCGTGGCGAACGTGCCGAGGGCGTCCGCAGCCCAGATGGTCCCCAGCTTCAGCAGCGCCGTGCCAGTGACCGCCAGCGCGTCGTCGTGCGTCGGCACCTCGATGATGCTGCCCGTCGTCAGCGCCGCCTGCGCCAGCACGTGCGGCTGCAGCCAAGCCGCGGCCACGACGCCTGCTGCTGCTCCGCCGGCGGCCTGCAGCCCTGGCACTGCGGACTGCGCCGCCGCCGCACCCGCCAGGCCCTGGGGCAGCACCGGGACCCCCAGCCCTGCGGGGCCCGGCATGCCCCCAGCGCCTGGGGCAGCGAGGGCTCCCGCGAGCTGAGCCCCAAGCCCGAGCTGGGCGGGAGCCCCGGCGGCGGGCACGGCCCTGGCCTGCATGGCCTGCAGGGCGGCGGCAATGCGCTGCTGGTTGAGGCCGACGCCTTGCCCCCTGGCCATCTGCGCGAGCCCCGCCGCCAGCTCCTGGGGGTTGCCTCCGCCCGCCTGGGCAGCTGCCACCACGGCGGGGTTGAAGCCAGCACCGCCTGCTCGCCTCCGCGCGGCCGCCGCGGGCGCTGCTGGCGGCGCCGCGCCTCCGCCGCAAGGCAGGCCGCCGGCCGCGGCGGCCGCGCCCGCACCAGCCGCCGCCGCGGGCAGACTTCGTGCCAGGCCCCCTGGCTGCGAAGAGGGCGGCTCCCCCAGGAGCAGCGGCGGCCGCGCGCAGGCGCGGGGCCCGCTTCGGCGCGGCGGCGGCAGCGGCAGCACCTCGCCCACGAGCACCAGCACCAGCCGCAGCCCCACGCCCAGGGCCGCCGCGCCCGCGCCCGCGCCCGCGTGCCCCCCGCCCAGCGGCCGCCCCCGCTCGCCCCTTGGGCGGCATCCTTCACGCCGGGGGCGGCGGAGGGGGGGGCACGTCCGCCAGGCCCGCCAGCGCGCCGCGACGATGGCCTCGACGTGCTCGGCCAGCGGCAGCGCCACGCTGCAGCGTGGCGCTCCCCGGGCGTGAAGAGCGCGCGGTGCGCTCTGCAGCGCGCGCCCCAGCGTCCAGCACAACTCGCACCTTGGCACGACGAGCGCGTGCGAGCCGAGGGGGTGCCCCAGAGGATCCCCCGAGCCATGTATTTCAGGAAACATTCAAAAGCACTCATGTTCGGAATGAAACAGAACCCTGGTCCCAAAATCAACGAAAACCGTTTCGATATATCGTTTGCCCGAACTACGCGGGGGTAATGGGGGGAATAGAATTTCGTGGTGTTGGCGGGCTTGTTACATGGCGTCATATTTCGATCATAACGATGGGTTGGCGGGGATACGCGAAACGTCAACGATTCGATGGTAAGGATGCCGATTCTTCTGAACACATTGATACAGAATTCACTGTGCAGTTAACCAATAACAAGTACATAATCCGAACATGCACGGCACCACTGCAAGTAACTACGACGAAATGCCGCCTCTGTTGCACGCTTTGCGTTGCAAGGTATTTGCATGGTGTTGGGGAGGGCTGGGGGGGGTAGGATAAAACGGAGGGGGTAGGTAGGTTCTGGAAGAAGGAAGGCGCCATTCGTTAGGCCACCTGGGCTACAAGACCCCCCCCCGTCGAGCCCCCAAAGGCCCCCAACAATACCCCCATTACAAGATAACTCGTAGCAAGCTACAGCGAATCAGTAAACTGAGCTGGAAAAGAATGGACTGAACACGGGAGGACTCTGCTTCAGTCTGGTCGGCCGATTACGTCTCCATTATATCCAACGCTTCTGTACGTTGCTCTCACTTTGCTCTGTCCTCCTCCTCCTCCTCCTCCTCCTCCTCCTCCTCTGCTTCTCCTCCGTCCGCCTCGTCCTCCTCCTCCTCCTCCTCCTCGTCCTCCTCATCCTCTTGTTCTCCTCTTCCGGCCCCTCCTCCTCGCGAGGTCCGCCTCGCCCTCCTGGACCTCTGGCGAAAGGAGCCACCATCCATCCCAATCGATTTCCTCCTCTTCTTTTTGTTTTTTACCTCCCTCCTCCCCCCCTGTTCCTCGTCCTCTTCGTCGTTGTCCTCCTCCTCCTCCTCCTCCTCCTCCTCCTCCCCCTCCTCCTCTTCGTCATCCTCCTCCTGCTCTTCCTCCTCTTCCTCGTCCTCCCCCTCCTTCTCCCAATTCTTCCTCATCCTCCTCGTCCACTCTCCCCTCCCCTTCCCCACCCCCCTCTTGTGGGGACATAGAAGGATGATGTTTGAGCGTCTCGCCATGTGTTTAGCCGTTTTGGCTCGATGTGCATCTGTGGACTCCACTTTTTTTCGACTTGAAGTTCCCACGATGGCTGTTGATGTTGGCACCGAGGAAGCATTGGCATCTCTCAACCTTTTGCCATTCTCTATTGTTGGCGCTGTCGATAAATTCTACCCCAAGGTCAGCTTCAAGAACCACCCAGATTGGCCGAAAGCACAAAAGGCTGTTCCTTGTGTTTCTGGCCTGATGACAGCCTCAAGGGGGTTGATGATCCATCATGTATCTCTTCGAGCTTCCGTCCAAGCGTGGTCGGCCACCCACGAGCTAACGATCTCTGCTCAAGATGTGGATAAGATAACATACTCCCTGAGGGCGATTTGCCACCAAATCAAGACCTTGAAAACTAACGAGAGACCTGTGCCCTTCAAGTGGAGGCCGCGTTTCCAGACGCTCTACGACAAGATCGTTCCAGGAGAACGTAAACGTAGTGATGAAGTTCGCGGTGGGCCCACCCCCGCCATTCTCGATGCCGAGTTTGATGATGATGCACCCGCTGAGGATGCGCACGACGGGCTCTCTGAGGCCAGCTGCGATGAAAGCTTTTGTTCGAAATTGGACGACATCCGAGATTCCCTTAACCCCACCCCCCTCGAGGGGGTGGGGTTCAGGGAATCTCGGGCGGTGTCCAATTTCGAATGCAAATGCGATCATTGCAACCTCCAGGTCGAGATCGTGGAGCCACCCTGCAGGGAGCCGCCGCCTCTCGTCAGCGTCATGTCCAGCCCAGAGCCCTACGACCACGATGAGCTCTTTAGCTCTGAGATTCCTGAGTTGCAAAGGCTTCTTCACGGCGGCCAGAGGCGCAGGCTCACTAGCAAGACGGTCGACACCAGTCCAGGCGCTCACATCAGGGCCTTAGAGGCGCAAACGCAGCCAGCCTCTTCATGCACGCCTCTCTGCCCGTCGGCCTGGGCGAAATTGAACGCCAGCATCAAGGAGTCCCACAAGGCCAAGAAAAACACGAAGGGCAAGAACAGCAAGAAGCCCCCGATGAAAACCATGAAAGTGATGAAGGGTCCCAAGGCCAAGAAGACGGACGACAAGCAGTCGTGGCAGAGCTTCCTCAAGAGGGAGCACAGCAAGGTCTATCACAGGATCGTGAAGGAGTGCAAGAGCAGCGGCTCGTGCGCTGCTGTTGCCAAGAAGCGGGCGAGCGTTGCAGCTTGCGCGAAGGTCAAGCAGCTTCGTGAAGAGCGCGAGGCTGGGCAGCATGCCGCCTACGAGTGAGTGGCGTTCAAGGCTTCTTTCGGGGGAGGGGGAGGGAGGAGAAAGAGGAGGAGGAGGAGGAGGAGGAGGAGGAGGAGGAGGAGGAGGAGGGGGAGAAGGAGGAGGAGGAGGAGGAGGAGGGAGGGAGGAGGAGGAGGGGGTGGGGGGAGGAGGACGAAGAGGAGGAGGAGGAGGAGGAGGAGGAGGAGGAGGAGGAGGAGGAGGAGGAGGAGGAGGAGGAGGAGGGGGAGGAGGAGAGGCGTTAAAGACTAACTCTTGGAGTTGCCGCAGGCTCGCAGGTAGAGCTCACCTGCTACTCTGTCTTGTGTATGCGCGTGCACGCGCGATCTTCTTTCTGCTCTCTGTCTGTGCCTCGCTTCTGTCGCTGCAGGTTTTCTCGTTCCCAATGCGTCCCATCGGCTGTCAGCAGTCGAGGGCGCTAGGCACTGCGCTACAGTGCAATTTTGGACGCCGCAGCAGCGGCATATTCGGGATCGCTGCCTCGGCGGGGCCATCAGCGAACATAGCATCAGCATTGCTTCCAAACATAACAAAGCATAGCATAGCGAACATAACATAGCATCATCATAGCATTAAGAGTGAGGATCGACGTTGTACGTTTAGGTCATGCACAAAGCTCGTTAAACAACATCATGGCCAATACTAGGTGAAATTGCAGATGAGCACGTATTCGCATGCACAATGTACCCGTGCCAATGCCAAAAAAATACAGGGGAGAGTTAGGGGTGTGTACATATTCACAGTGTAGTCTTTGAAACGAGCACGCAGCACGCAACATTAGGATGGGTCCCAGCCTACCAGCCTTATCCAGAAACGATCGCTAGGTGCAAAACATGGCAAGCGAGAACCATGTAGCGCAACAACATTCAATGGTGCCACTCGGGGGTGCAATGACGGCGGTTAAATTATTCTACATATGATCCCTACAGGGCGGGCCTAGAGAGGATCTTCTGGGGCCTTCATCATTGGAAGGATCGGCAGATCAACCAACATCAGCATCAACATCATCACCGTCATCGCCATCACTGCACCACTGATTTCGCCGACGCCAACGAAGTAACAACAGGTTTGCCGTCAAAGTTTCGAGGGAGGAACTCCCATTGTCATCTCACTATTTCAATCGCTGCCGCCGCCGTCTCTGCTCAACCAATATCAGTTGCCTTGCCGCTCGCGTGTCCCATGCATTCGGAGCAGGGCACTGACAGTATGGCGACTGTCAGCTCGGTTGCAGATGCGATCCACGATCTTAACAATATGCTGGTCGTGGCTGCTTCGTGGGTGACAGTCGTGAAGGAGGGGAAATACACGGAGGCGCTGAGGGAGGGCATCCAGCAGTTCACGATGGATGCTACGATGTGTCTATCGTCGTTGGAGAGTTCTCTGAACGCTCCTGAGGTTTCAAATGCGGAGGCTGGCCTGAAGGAGCACGCCGCGCTGAAGGATCGTTACGCTGAGCTGCACCCCCTCGTCGGCAACATGATGAAGCCCTCCCGCGGCCTCAAGAGGAACGCCAGCGATCCGATCCCCAACCCGAGGGAGCCGAATCTCAACGAGCCTACGGTGCCTGAGCTCCGTGGTTCTCTGAGTGTCGGGAGTGACTGCCCCGACACGCTGCCGCCCGTAGAGTTTCCTGACACGTTGCCGCATGATGATTTTCCTGGCCCTGAGGAGTTCCCTGACACCCAGCCGCCCGTTGAGATCGACTGAAGGTTTGCAGATCTCGAGAGTGCAGTCGGTTTGAGAGTACTTATGCAGCTGCAACGCGGCTTAGAGGCGCGAAGCACATCAACGTTTGGCTCGGCAGGTATCGGCTCGGCTTGCGAGGAAATCATCGTCATCATCACCGACATCACGCTCATCATCCACACCGCCGCCCTCCCCTCTCCCCCTTTCCCCCCCTCCCCTCATCCAAGAGTTAGTGCTTAACGCTCCTCCTCCTCCTCCTCCTCCTCCTCCCTCCTCCTCCTCCTCCTCCTCATCCTCCTCCTCCTCCTCCTCTTCCCCCTCCTCTTCCTCATCCTTGACTCGGCTGCCCTGGCCTCCGCGCCCGCTTTCGACTCCACGGAGTCGGCGCTGGCGACGAAAACCGACCACTTTCGTTCGAAAGTGGTCGGTTTTCGTTTTTCCCTCCGTCACCAGGCCCACCTGATAGAGCAGCGTGGCCCGCGAGCAGATCTGGCGGTTGGCGCGTATGGACTTCGGCCGATGATCGGAGCTAGCACGATCTCCTTCTGACCTAACGCGCGTCGACAGAGGATCAAGGAAGTGTCTCCGTCGATGTCCAAGATTCGCTCAAGTTTAGAAGGGGGCCGCGAACCCACAAAGATGGCCCAGGCACCCAGGGGGCCCCCGAGATATCCTCAGGAGGCTCCAAAAAGCACCCAAAAACCAGCAATAGACCCTCAGCGCCAGTTGGGTCCCAAGACTGCCCAAAATGATTCCAAGATGGTCGGATGCGCCTCCGCGAGACAACGCAGCATCAAACGGACAACGCGAGAAACAGCATAATGCTCATGGTGCTTATTCTCGGCTTCGCTTCCCGTCTTCTAGATTGCAGGTTCTCGGGTCTCCAGATTCCAATCGGCCAGGACCTAAGATTTCGTTAACTTCCAGACGTCCAGGTTTCTCCAGAATTTTC